ACAATCTCTGAAAGGACTTAAAAGCAGAATGGATGGGATGCAAGAGGCCATTGATGGTACAGAAACCAGAGAACAGGAACACAGAGAAGCTGATGCAGAGAGAGATAAAAGGATCTCCAGAAATGAAACAATATTAAGAGAACTGTGTGACCAATCCAAACAGAACAATATCCACATTATAGGGTACCAGAAGAGGAAGAGAGAGAAAAAGGGATAGAAAGTGTATTTGAAGAAATAATTGCTGAAAACTTCCCAAACTGGGGGAGGAAATAGTCACTCAGACAACGGAAGCACACAGAACTCCCAACAGAAGAGACCCAAGGAGGACAACACCAAGACACATAATAATTAACATGGCAAAGATAAGTACAAGGACAGCGTTTTAAAGGCAGCTAGAGAGAGGAAAAAGGTCACTTACAAAGGAAAACCCATCAGGCTATCCTCAGACTTCTCAACAGAAACTTTACAGACCAGAAGAGAATGACATGATACATTCAATGCAATGAAACAGAAGGGCCTTGAACCAAGGATACTGTATCCAGCAAGATTATCATTTAAAAATGAAGGAGGGATAAAACAATTCCCAGACAAGCAAAAGTTGAGGGAATTCGCCTTCTACAAACCACCTCTACAGGGTATTTTAGAGGGACTGCTCTAAATGGGAGCACTCTTAAGGCTAAATAGATGTAACCAGAGAAAATAAAATCACAGCAAAGAAAGCAGACCAACCAAATACTAACTAAAGGCAAAAAACAAAATCAACTACTCACAAAAGCAATGAAACACAAAAGAGCACAGAATAAAACACCCAACATATAAAGAATGGAGGAGGAGAAATAAGAAGGGAGAGAAATAAAGAACCATCAGACAGCGTTTATCATAGCTCAATAAGTAAGTTAAGTTATATAGTAAGATAGTAAAGAAGCTAACCTTGAACCTTTGACAACCATGAATCTAAAAAAAACCTGCAATGGCAATAAGTACATATCTTTCAATAATCACCCTAAATGTAAATGGACTGAATGCACCAATCAAAAGACACAGAGTAATAGAATGGATAAAAAAGCAAGACCCATCTATATGCTGCTTACAAGAGACTCACCTCAAACCAAAAGACATGCACAGACTAAAAGTGAAGGGATGGAAAAAGATATTTCATGCAAACAGGGAGAAAAAAGCAGGTGTAACAGTGCTAGTATGAGACAAAGCAGACTTCAAAAAAAAGAAACAAGAGATAAAGAAGGACATTACATAATGATAAAGGTGTCAGTCCAACAAGAGGATATAACCATTATAAATATATATGCACCCAATACAGGAGCACCAGCACATGTGAAACAAATACTAACAGAACTAAAGGAGGAAATAGAATGCAATGCATTCATTTTAGGAGACTTCAACACACCACTCACTCCAAAGGATAGATCCACCAGACAGAAAATAAGAAAGGACATAGAGGCACTGAACAACACACTAGAACAGATGGACCTAATAGACATCTATAGAACTCTACATCCAAAAACAACAGGATACACATTCTTCTCAAGGGCACATGGAACATTCCCCACAATAGACCACATACTAGGCCACAAAAAGAGCCTCAGTAAATTGAAAAAGATTAAAATTCTACCAACCAACTTTTCAGACTACAAAGGTATAAAACTAGAAATAAATTGTACAAAGAAAACAAAAAGTCTCACTAACACATGGAGGCTTAACAATATGCTCCTAAATAATCAATGGATCAATGAACAAATTAAAATATAGATGAAGCAATATATGGAAACAAATGACAACAACAACACAAAACCCCAACTTCTGTGGGACGCAGTGAAAGCAGTCTTAA